ACAAAAGTACATTAGTATTTGTAATGTAAAATGTGTACATAAGTAAATACAAAAATACATTAATATTTGTATTATAAAAACGTGTACATAAGTAAATACAAAAGTACATTAGTATTTGCAATGTAAAGCGTGTACATAAGTAAATACAAAAGTACATTAATATTTGTCTTTTAAAAACGTGTATATAAGTAAATACAAAAGTACATTAGCATTTCTATTGTAAAACGTGTACATAAGTAAATGCAAAAGTACATTAATATTTGTATTTCAAAAACGTGTACATAAGTAAATGCAAAAGTACATTAACATCTGTATGCTGTCAGACCCACCCGCCTACCCCCCGCAGAGACCTCAATCACACGGCCAGAGGCATCGGATGACAAGGATAAGGATAAGGATAAGGTGACAAGGCGTAAATAAGCCCTTATATAGACCTTGGCTGATGACACGATCGGCGGCGTCATCGGGTGCGATCGAGGCGTCAGGGGAAACCGGCTCTTCCCGTTCAACCGAAAGACAGCCAGGACATGAGAATCAGGCTTGGGTAAAAAATACTTCCTACATAAAATACAAAATAGAATTTAAAAAAATGGATATAAACACTATTGGGAGTTCTGGGGCTAAACAAGCAGGGAACAAGAACGCAGGGTGTGTAGTGTCCTTGGTTCGCATACATTAATACACTATATATTACAGTGTTCTATGCTTCGGTTGTATAGAAATGCAGATATAACAGGTTTATCTGAACAGGCCGTATAGATGTTTATGAATGGTCAGGTATTTGAGATTTTAGAGACACAGGCAATTTTCACCAAGATCATAAACATACCTGGCGAATATGCATAGGTAGGTAGGCTGTTATTCTTTCTGTGACACTATAATGTCTTCTACTTAATTGAGGATGACTGACGTACGTTAAGCATCATTCTCTTGAGACACAAATATTTTTCTCAATCTATTAATCTCTTTTTCGGGATCATAATTATATATTGCGCGTATATTATATATGTCATGTGCGCCGTATGTGATTATGTGAGCCGATGAGAGGACTTATAGACGAGTGGACATTTATCGTGTTATATCACTCCATCATATGTAATCCAATGGCACTGAACACGTATTTTATGATTTAAGTATTGTACATATTTTTTTACATTTGTCTTACATTAATTTTGTGTGTGTATGAATTGTGAGTCCACATAGGGACTTATTAAGATAGGGTGAGGATAACCTAAGTTACCTAATGCTTTTGAGCTGTATTTTTTCGTCTCAATAAACGTGTAAAAGTAGTAATAATAATAATAATAATAATAATAATAATAATAATAATAATAATAATAATAATAATAATGATAATAAAAGCATAAAAAAAAATAAAAAAAGACATTTAAAAAAAAAGTCTGTCTGTCCCCGTCTGCCTCTTCCAGAAGCCTTGTGCCTACCCGTCTGCTCCTCCAGGGGGCGGAGTTAACCTGTCCTCGACCTGACCTTCAGCCAATCAGAAGCAGGACGATAACTGAATCCCTGGCACTGCCCTGGACAGCTTAAGCTTACGGCAGACAGTTACACTCTAGCCTCCAGGTTAGTACAGTGGTAACGTGTCGGCTTCTCATCCGAGGTCGCGGTTCGTGCCCCGCCCAGGCGCGAGAAGTTGCAATTGTCGCCCGGAGGTTACTGCTGTGGCTGGGCACCCGCGCGGGTAAGGACTAAGCTCTGTCGCGTCAGCACTCGCTGACACACGTTGATCGAGTCGACATTAGTCGGCACAGCCGGGCGAGGCTCAGCTTCGCAAATCGACTTATCCTTAGTTACACTCTGTCTGGTATTCTAGCTCAGTTGGGAAACCTCGCTACATACTGACAGATTCGCTACTTACTGACAGATTTTGGGTGATCTGACGTTACAGATATTAAATTCTTGCTTGTAGTATTTGTCTTTTACAGTGTGTATGTATATATATACTTTTTTTACATAACAATACATTGCTGCTTGTAGTTCTTCTGGCACCTAAGGAATTTGTGTTATGGTTTAACCTCATTTTACAACCCTCAGCTAAGGATTGAACCTCACGTGTTCCGATCGCTGTGTGTTGGTGTTTTAGTGTATTTTTCAGCAACGTGTCCAGCCAGAAAGAAGGAGGCCCAAGATACACCCGAAATGAAGGTGAGTTCCAGCTGAGGATTAGATATTCCTTGAGTCTCGTTTCCCCTTTTCTTTCCCGCTCCAGTTATATCCATCCACGTGTTGTGCTTCGTGTTGCTGACGTGTGATTTCTTTGATTTCTATTCATTATCATTATTATTATTGTTGTTGCTGTTTATGATTTTATATTGTCATTCATCCGTTTTGTTTTACGATTCTTGTGTGTGAATGACGAAGCAGGAAAAGTTCCAGAAAACTAGTGATGAGACGGAATATTATTAGGGTTCGTACAGTGCTTCCACCATCCCCCTCACGTTCCCTGACTCTCTCCTCTTAACCCTCAGCTTTTGACCTGACCTTGACCCTCACGCTGACTCCCCTTAAATCCCCCTCCTCGCCATGGCATTCCATACTCATCAGACACTTAATACTGAAGGAACGTTCGACGGAGCTTCAGCCTCGGTCGAAAACCTCTTAGAAGGCGTAAAGTCTATGGTTGTCGAGGGAGGCGCGTCAACAGGCTCTGCAGACGAGTGTGCGAGTGCGACGTCGGTATCTGAAGGACACCACATCCAGTTTGCGAGGGTCATCCACGTGAGACCTGCGTCCTTGGCAGAGAAAGACATCAGATCGTTTATCAATCAACGTACAATAAAGATTAGCCAGTGGGTTTCGTGCATCCCAGACGGAGACGACTGCCCGTTCAAAACCATGTTTGAGGAGAACTATATGTCGACAATGGCGTATTTCGTGAAGGCAATCCTGGCAGCTTCCCTTCCCTTCTCAGTTCAGGAGAAAGCTTTGAGAAATTGCACGAGTCATTCTCTCTATCAGTTCGTCGAGGAATTCATCTGGTTTTTAAGGGTAGAAGCTCCTGATGCGGTTGTTGCCACGGGGCTGAAACGAACACACAAGACACCGCGGATGCCACCAGACCCAAGCGTCAAAAAAAAAAAAAAAAAAAAAACACGCCACATTAGCCAAGGGAAGCAACAAACCCATTCACATCGGGAACGGCAAACCAGACCCCACTCTTGTTACAACAACCATAACCATAACGCGGGGACACAACAGAACAGGCCTACGAACTACAACAAATACAACACAACACAGAGACCACACGCTCATACCTCATTTCCGTCTAATTCCCCCAGGCGCACCCGACCTCTTGTCACGAACTGGTCACTCGATCCAGACCAGTGCTCGAACTGTTGCGCGGAAGGTCACGCCGCCGACACCTGTCACTCACCCCCCTTCTGCGCCTTCCATGGGTCGCGGTCACACTCGTGGGCGGACTGCGCGGCTTTCCCGGAGCAGGTGAAGCAGACACACCACCTGCTCCACCAATTAATAACAAACCCACGTGCTTTAGGGAAAAGCGCCATGAGAGAAGCCATAGCGGCACTACAAGACCTGTACGGATAGAAATAAAAAACTACATCATATCAACCTGTTGCATCCCTAATGACTCTCTACCCCCATTGCTATCATCAGCGTTAAATGACAAACCTGCATATTTCTTTGTAGACACAGACTCGTCTTACTCTGTTGTCTCCTTAGATGCATAGTTTCGGGTTATCATTACATATGCAACCTAGTCCTATTACGACTTGTGGGATAACAGGCAACACTGCATTGGGCATATGCAGCACAGTCCTAGATATCTATTGCGATCTACTATAAATTATTTCTCATAAGTTTGTTGTAGCGGAGTTGAATATCAGTCCTGTGTATCTTTTGCTATAGGACATGACTTTATGTTTCGTACGAGAATCTGACTCCATCTTCGAGGTAAAATTCTTATTCTTAATGGTTGTACGAATCCCCTGAGGACTTCTTCATGCTTGTGGGACGTAATCGGAACCGTTCATGAACCTCGCATGAACAGAGTCATCCTTTACTCACACCCTACCCCTCCCTATCCCCCTTACCCAAACCCTACAACACCCTCCTCCCTCCACCCACCCACCTCCCTATTTCGCCATGCAAATCCTACTACCCCCCCTCCCCCACCCACCCACTTCCCTATTTAGCCTTGCAAACCCTACTACCCCCCCTCCCCCATCCTCCCGCCTCCCCATCCCCACCCACCCGCCTCCCCATCCCCCATCCAAACCCTTCAACACCCCCTCCCCTGCACCCCTCCCCCCAACCACCCGCCATTCACCCATTCCTCATCTCACTCTGCGCGACCCCGATAAGCCGACACCAAAGCTACCGAACCCCGTTAACACGACACCCACGCGCCAAAAACCGTTAACGACCGTTAGAACTCTCCGGATTCAAATGACAACGCTCTTAAATTTGTTCCGACCATCTCGGCATTTCGTTATTTGCTGATAGGTGTCTCCTATGCCCCTGTAGATGGCATAGCTTTGATTTTACCGGGTGATATATAAGGGTGTGGTTGTCCAATGCTTCATTGTACAGCATCAGGAATAAGAACTGGAAGAGAGAATGAGAGAGAGAGTGAGTGAAAGACTGAGAAAATTAGAAAGAGAGAGAGAGAGATAGGGAGAGAATGAGAGAGAGAGTGAGAGAATGAGAGAGAGAGAAGCAGAGAGAGAGAGAGAGAATGAGAGATAGAGAGAGAGAATGAGAGATAGAGAGAGAGAGAATGAGAGACTGGGAGAATGAGAGATAAAGAGACAGAATGAGAGAAAGAGAGAGAGAATTAAATGACTCTTATCTAGGTGTTTTAGATCTTCAAAATCTAAATATTACTTACTGGGTTAATTCGAGTAGCCAAGCTTACAGCATAAGGGGTAAACAGAATAGGAATAATTCTCAAATATTCCATATATTCTTTACACCCATTAAAATTATATATATTCTGACGTCCGGTAGAGGGTGCGGGCATGAAGACGCAAATCTCTGATGTTCTGGCCGTTATAAAGAGGTGTGAATCGCTTAATCGACCGCTTTATCTCGACCTCTCTGAATCAAGTCGCTGGTCGGGTCAAATAGCCTGGACCCGACACTACCCTCATGGCAGCTCGCCTTAACCCAAATGTTCCGGTCGTCGGCTTATGCCGACGGCCGGCAAATACATATTTTTTCGGCGAAATTTTATCCTCGGCGTTCACATGGAGATGTGTTATCCCCCCTCCCTTCCCCCACTGCCGTACATGACAAAAGTTTCTTTTTTTTCTAACTGCAATTCACTAATCCGTGTGTTAGCAATAAGATCAGCTTCTCACCCTCCTCCCCACTGGCCCACCTGCAGGAGGGGAGGGAAGACCTCGGAGAGGAGTGGTGCTTAGCGCATTATGCCGTCACGGTCATTGACAATCAAAATTACCTGCTTTGACCAGTTATGTGACCTCTGTCAGGTGAGGCGCGTCCTACCTTTCCATATTCTGCTAAAAAGAATAAAAAGATAAAAATTGAAGCTATGGGGGAAAGGAGGCGGGGACACATCGGGAATCAGGGATGGTACGCACCAGGTGGGACGGAGAGGGAAGGGGGAGGGAGGACCTCGGGATGTAGGAGGGGCGGGTTAGCATTAGGGGGGTCTGTGGGGGAGGGGAGAGGGAAGACACGGGTAGGGTGACCCACGTTGACCAATGGCCAGGTGGGACGGAGAGGGAAGGGGTCACGTGACCTCTTGTCAGGTGGGGCAAAGGGGGAGGGAAGACCTCTGGCTGGAGGGGCCTCGCACCAGGTGGGACGGAGAGGGAAGGGGGAGGGAGGACCTCGGGATGTAGGAGGGGCGGTTTGCATTAGGTGGGTCTGTGGGGGAGGGAGAGAGGGAAGACTACGGGTAGGGTGACCCACGTTGACCAATGGCCAGGTGGGACGGAGAGGGAAGGGGTCACGTGACCTCTTGTCAGGTGGGGCAAAGGGGGAGAGGGGGAGGGAAGACCTCTGGCTGGAGGGGCCTACCACCACCCCCTTCTTCCCGAGGTTTCACCTTCCCCCCTCCCCCATAGCCCCAACTGACAAGAGGTCACGTAATTGGTCAACGTGGGTCATTCTGATTGGTCAATGACCGTGAAGGCGGGAGCAGAAAGTCTATAAATAGGGGGAGGAGGGTAATTTTTTCATTCCAGGCCAGACTTTTGTCATTGCTGATCGATCTTCTGATAGCATATTGAAAATGTCCCGCCAACTACGAACCCAACGCTGCCGCTCGTCAAAGTAAGAATAATGATGAATAATGCTAACATGGTTATTTGGTGTAATGTATATACTTTTCTTTCTTCTTTTATGCCTTTTTACTTCTTTTTTGAGATTCTAACTTTGTTTTTATTCTACAGGTACTCGCATGCCGTAAGGAACCTTTACGACTCCGACCCTGACGACCCCAGACCATCAACTTCGGGAGAGGGCCCGAGACGGTTGAGGAATGCTCCGGAGTCTCACTTCTACCTCTATGAGACCGCGTCTGGTCGAGGAGAGATGAGGGAGGCTCTCGACTCCTCAGCCCAACCTGCCAACTCTGGACGATCCACCGCCATTCCCAACATCCCAGACTCCGACTGGGATATGGATGTTGACGATTCTGACGACGATGCCGACTACTCGCCGGAGGCAACGGAGAGCGACGCCGACTGGGAGGAGTTTGATTACGTGTCGTCGCATGACACGTCCATCGACTCCGACGAGCCGTTGTCAGCTGTTGCACGTCGGTTTGCTATGAGGAACGCTCCAGGGACTCCGGGTTTCGTCTGGAAGAAGAAGAGGCCTTTCGTGCGCCGTCACCCCTTCCAGGGCGTCCCAGGGGTCGAAGAAGCATGCCTCCTGCATGCCGACTCGACGGCAAGAGAGATCTTGGACTGCTTCCTGACACCGGAATTGTGGGACACTATGACGAGGGAGACCAACCGGTATGTGGAGCAGAGGCCGGTCACCCCATCTTCACACATGAAGACTTGGGAGAATACGACTGTGGAGGAGCTGCAGTCATTCATTGGCCTCCGCCTGCTCATGGGCCTGCAGCCGCGACCGCATTCGCGGTATTATTGGTCGAAGAACCGGTTGCTTTCCTCGTCTGTGTTCCCTGAAACGATGACCAGGGATAGATTTGATTTACTGCAAAGTCGGCTTCACTTCTCGGACAACGAGGACCCCCGTGCCGACACCGACCGTCTGTGGAAGCTGCGACCGGTGTTGGATATCCTCGATACGACGTTCAAGACGGTCTATATCCCTGACAGGAAAATCGTGGTTGATGAGTCGCTGTGGGCGTTCAGGGGACGTCACCACGCGATTCAATTCAACCCGACGAAGAGGGCGCGGTTCGGGATGAAGGTATATCGCCTGTGCGAGAGTGATGGTGCTGGTGCTGGCTACACCAGTGCCTTCAATGTCTACATGGGCCAGGACCGCGGCGACGTACCTGCCAGCATGAAGGCTGTGACCGACCTCATGAACCGCGCCTGCTTCTTCGAGAAGGGTTACGAGCTGTACTTGGACAACTGGTACAGCTCCCCGGAACTTTTCCATTACCTGTCATCAAGGAAGACGAACCGTGGGAACAGTTCGGCTGAACCGCAAGTTCATGCCGAAGGACCTCAAGGTGAGCGCCCGCGGCGACGTCGACTTCCGGACTTCGGCGACGGGGATGTTGGCTATGTCTTGGATGGATCGGAAGCCGGTGCATATGCTTTCTACCATCCACGGCCCAGACATGGTTGACCTGCCCCCAAACCGCCGTGGTATAGTCCGGACGAAGCCCCAAGCCGTCGTTGACTACAACGTGGGGAAGAAGGGGGTAGACCTTGCCGATCAGTTGGCCGCGTCGTACTCCACAACCAGACGAACTAACAAGTGGTACCAGAATGTGTTTTACCACTTGCTCGACATGGCGGCGGTGAATGCTTTCGTGGTTCACAGGGCGTTGGGTGGCACCCTGACCCAGCTTGAGTTCCGCCTGGAGATCATAGCTAACTTCCTCGATCAACCTCCGGCCTACGGGAGAAGGGGTGGCCTTCGGACGCCTCCTGCTGCCACCCCATCGCCTCCTCGCCGCCGGAACGCCCCACGTCAGCAGCAGCGCCAGCAGGTACCACAGGGCCACGTCCTGGCTTTCAATCCAGGGCGAAAGTACCGCCGGTGTCGTCACTGCCGAGTAAGCCGCAACGTGAGGAAGGAGACGCGCTACAGGTGTGGCAGGTGTGATGTCTCACTGTGCCCGGCAGATTGCTTCAATCTGTGGCACAGCCCCCTGTAGCGAGGATGCGGCATCACCCACCTCTCCGATAGCAGCAGGCTATCGTTTTCGAAACAGCGCAGGAAGATCCACGACGCCACATCCAGTGGCAAAAGGAAGATCCATGACGCTGCCTCCAGCAGCAGGAGGACCCCTCACGCCGCCTCCAGCAGCAGGAGGATCTCTCACGCCGCCACCAGCAGCAGAAGGACCTCTCACGCCGCCTCCAGCAGCAGAAGGACCTCTCACGCCGCCTCCAGCAGCAGGATGATCTCTCACGCCGCCAACAGCAGCAGAAGGACCTCTCACGCCGCCACCAGCAGCAGAAGGACCTCTCACGCCGCCTCCAGCAGCAGGATGATCTCTCACGCCGCCAACAGCAGCAGAAGGACCTCTCACGCCGCCACCAGCCCTCTCACGCCGCCACCAGCAGCAGAAGGACCTCTCACGCTGCCACCAGCAGTGGAAGGGCCTCTCACGCCGCCTCCAGCAGCAGGATGATCTCTCACGCCGCCACCAGCAGCAGAAGGACCTCTCATGCCGCCACCAGCAGCAGAAGGACCTCTCACGCCGCCTCCAGCAGCAGGATGATCTCTCACGCCGCCACCAGCAGCAGAAGGACCTCTTACGCCGCCACCAGCAGCAGAAGGACCTCTCACGCCGCCACCTGCAGCAGAAGGACCTCTCACGCCGCCACCAGCAGTGGAAGGACCTCTCACGCCGCCTCCAGCAGCAGGATGATCTCTCACGCCGCCACCAGCAGCAGAAGGCCGCCACCAGCAGCAGAAGGACCTCTCACGCCGCCACCAGCAGCAGAAGGACCTCTCACGCCGCCACCAGCAGTGGAAGGACCTCTCACGCCGCCTCCAGCAGCAGGATGATCTCTCACGCCGCCACCAGCAGCAGAAGGACCTCTCACGCCGCCACCAGCAGCAGAAGGACCTCTCACGCCGCCACCAGCAGTGGAAGGACCTCTCACGCCGCCACCAGCAGCAGAAGGACCTCTCACGCCGCCACCAGCAGAAGGACCCCTCACGCCGCCACAAGCAGCAGGTGTGATGTCTCATTGTGCCCGGCAGATTGCTTCAATCTATGGCACAGCCCCCTGTAGCGAGGATGCAGCATCACCCATCTCTCCGATAGCAGCAGGCTATCGTTTTCGAAACAGCGTAGGAAGATCCACGACGCCACATCCAGTGGCAAAAGGAAGATCCATGACGCTGCCTCCAGCAGCAGGAGGACCCCTCACGCCGCCTCCAGCAGCAGGAGGATCTCTCACGCCGCCACCAGCAGCAGAAGGACCTCTCACGCCGCCTCCAGCAGCAGAAGGACCTCTCACGCCGCCTCCAGCAGCAGGAGGATCTCTCACGTCGCCACCAGCAGCAGAAGGACCTCTCATGCTGCCACCAGCAGCAGAAGGACCTCTCACGCCGCCACCAGCGACCTCCAGCAGCAGAAGGACCTCTCACGCCGCAGCAGAAGGACCTATCACGCACCAGCAGCAGAAGGACCTCTCACGCCGCCACCAGCAGCAGAAGGACCTCTCACGCCGCAGCAGAAGGACCTCTCACCGCCACCAGCAGCATAAGGACCTCTCACGCCGCCACCAGCAGCAGAAGGACCTATCACGCCACCACCAGCAGCAGAAGGACCTCTCACGCCGCCACCAGCAGCAGAAGGACCTCTCACGCCGCCACCAGCAGCAGAAGGACCTATCACGCCACCACCAGCAGCAGAAGGACCTCTCACGCCGCCACCAGCAGCAGAAGGACCTCTCACCAGCAGCAGAAGGACCTCTCATGCCGCCTCCAGCAGCAGAAGGATCTCTCACGGCGCCACCAGCAGCAGAAGGACCTCTCACGCCGCCACCAGCAGTNCTCACTGTGCCCGGCAGATTGTTGTCAAATGACAGCCCCCTGTAGTGAGGATGCAACCAACATGCAGCATCACCCACCTCTCCGATAGCAGTAGGCTATCGCTTTCGAAACAGCAGGAAGATCCATGACGCACATCCAAGTGGCACAAGGAAGATCCATGACGCTGCCTCAGCAGCAGGAGGATCCCTCACCGCTGCCTCAGCCAGGAGGATCCCTCACGCTGCCTCCAGCAGCAGAGGATCCTCACGCTGCCTCCAGCAGCAGGAGGATCCCTCACGCTGCCTCCAGCAGCAGGAGGATCCCTCACGCTGCTCCAGCAGCAGGAGGATCCCTCACGCTGCCTCCAGCAGCAGGAGGATCCCTCACGCTGCCTCCAGCAGCAGGAGGATCCCTCACGCTGCCTCCAGCAGCAGGAGGATCCCTCACGCTGCCTCCAGCAGCAGGAGGATCCCTCACCTGCCTCCAGCAGCAGAGGATCCCTCACGCTGCCTCCAGCAGCAGGAGGATCCCTCACGCTGCCTCCAGCAGCAGGAGGATCCATCACGCCGCCTCCAGCAGCAGGAGGACCCCTCACGCTGCCTCCAGCAGCAGGAGGACCCTAACGCCCGCCTCCAGCAGCAGGAGGACCTAACGCCGCCTCCAGCAGCAGGAGACATCTCACGCCCGCCCCCAGCAGGAGGACATCTCACGCCCCCCAGCAGCAGGAGGACATCTCACGCCGCCTCAGCAGCAGAAGGACCTCTCACGCCGCCTCCAGCAGCAGGAGGATCTTTCACGCCGCCTCCAGCAGCAGGAGGATCTTTCACGCCGCGCCTCCAGCAGGCAGGAGATCTTTCACGCCGCCTCTATCAGCAGAAGGATCTCTCAGCCACCTCCAGCAGCAGGTGGATCTCTCACGCTACCTTTAGTAGCAACAAGCTACCTCTGCCCCTTCCAATAGTAGTTCCATAAAAACAAAGAAATAAACAAAATCTATGGTTTTCATCTCCATATTCCATAGTCTGAAAACATGAGTTTTGACAAGCCATAAAGCCATAATTGATGTTCATATCTTTTAGAGAAACATGATTTTCGAGAATATGAACTCTGAATTACAAGATGAACATAAAAATTTTGCCAGTTTGCGTCCACACATCAAAGTTGTCCTTTTCAACAATAACAATAACAAAATTACAATAACAGAAAATTTCTCAAATCATTATGAAATGCATGGACAAATTGACCTGAAAACAGCCGCTCTGCGTGAGCTGAGCCCATCCGCACTGGAGCAGCATCTCGGCATCCCGCGTTAGGCCTAGGCTGATATGCCTGGTCAGGCCGGTCCCGCGTTAGGCCTAGGCTGATATGCCTGGTCAGGCCTGTCCCGCGTTAGGCCTAGGCTGATATGCCTGGTCAGGCCGGTGCCGCGGTAGATGCGGGACCCAGCGCATTTGGGTTAACATTTCTAACCCCAGGGTAATTGCCTACCAGAACACTACAAAATTTGATAAGTGCTCGCAGAGCATTTACCCAACTATCATAGAACAGACATTTTAGATAGCAACAGACGAGGAAAAGATATTCAATCTGCCCAAATAATCATAGACCTTAACCTTCTTACGCAAGGATACATCAACATCAGGTAATACTTCTTCAGACACAATGATACATGAGCAACCAGTGTCACAAAGGATTGTAGAGATCCAGGATCCATTAACTGTACCAGAGGTTAGTAATTCCCTTGGAGTAGTATCATCAAAATAGAACCCACCTATGATGTACTTTTAAATTTAGCTGGATTTTTGGGACAATTTGGTTTGATATGTCCAAACTCTTTGCAATAATGACCCTGAACTGTCACCTTACTTTTACTGGATGTAGGTGGTACATTTCCCTCTGAACTATGAGATTTTGGGTTTCTCTTACATTCTCCACTATCAATCTTTGGGTATGCATTATGCGCAGAAGCCCAAGTATCAGCTAGCTCTACAGCAACATAAGGGAAGAGGTATTGCATTCCTTGATAAACAGAGAAGAAATGAATTAATCAAAGATCATGAATTCCCTTTATACGACTTCTCAATATTCCTAGATTCAGGCCACTGTTCAAGCAATCTACCAATATAAATGGAAAATTGTTGATATGTCCCCAACTTTGATCTTACTGGATCTAAAATCCATGCGATACTGATCTGGAGTCTTGTTAACCCATTGGTCGCGGATGGCATGATATGATGACAAGGTTTGCCTCAGTCATAAACGTGGATGGCATATCAGAATAAAATTCGGGCTGGCCCAGCCGCAGATGGCACGATATCCTGCGGTGGTTAGCGACAATGAGGGAACAAGGGAACCCCTTTTTAGCCTATAGTTTTTTATGCTACGTCATTTACGCCCTCGTTTCGTGGTTTACCTCATTAGACCTTCCGACTCTTTCTGGAAGTGATAAATGAAATTGAACCTTATTACCTGGATTTTTGTATATAAGAGTAATAGTATAAACATGTGTGTTTGTCTTTGTGTGTGTTTACGTGTATGTGTGGTATATATAGATTTCCGCTTTCTCTGCTCTTTTATTTATGTATTTGCACTCGCTCTCCCTCCCGCTCTCCCTCCAGCTGTTTTCGCTCTCCCTCTCGCTCTCCTCCATCTCCTTCTCGCTGTCTTTGCTCTCCTCGTTCTCCCTCTCACTCTCCTCGTTCTCCCTCTCACTCTCCTCGCTCACCCTCTCGCTCTCTCTCTCTTCCTCTCCCTCTCGCTCTTTTCGCTCTCATTCTTGCTGTCTTAGCTCTCACTCTCGCTCTCCCTCTCGTTGTCTTCGCTCTCACTCTCGCTCTCCCTCTCGATGTCTTTGCTCTCGCTCTCCCTCTCATTGTCTTCACTCTCACTCTCGCTCTCCCTCTCGTTGTCTTCGCTTTCGCTCTCCCTCTCCCTCTCGTTGTCTTAGCTCTTGCTCTCCCTCTCCCTCTCGTTGTCTTAGCTCTCGCTCTCCCTCTCCCTCTCGTTGTCTTCGCTCTCGCTCTCCCTCTCCCTCTCGTTGTCTTCGCTCTCCCTCTCCCTCTCGTTGTCTTCGCTCTCCCTCTCCCTCTCCTTCTCGTTTTCGCTCTCGCTTTCGCTCTCCCTCTCGTTGTCTTTGCTCTCGCTCTCCCTCTCATTGTCTTCGCT